GGTCGGGAGATCAGGGGAAAGCTTGTCTAAACAGATGTGTCTTCAAGAGCCAGCGGCATGCCAATACTGATTGGCGTCTCTCAAATTTCAGCAGGGAATATTGGTTTCAAAATCAGTTAAAATAAAAATGCTATTCCTTTGCCCAAAGTCTTCTTAAAAGCTGGTAGTCCTCCAGATGCTTTGAACAGCTGCTAGGAGCTGTTGTAAAACATCTGGAGGGGACCAGGTTTGGAAAGGCTGTCCTAAAGAATGGGGACGAGTAGAGGGTGCATTGATGATGCCTTGTTAACAGATTGCTAACTTGACTCCCAGTTCCTGAGAAGAGGGAATTATTATTAAATTACTTTGTATCTAGTTCAGATGAACCCTAATTCTGATCCCCCAAAACTTTAGTAAAACTCACAGAGTTTCCTTTTCTGAGAGGGAAATATGAAAGTAAACCCTCACATTGCTGAATCAAGCAGCTGTCTGGTGTTTGTCCAATTGCCCAATTTAATTCACCTTGATTTAAGTTGCCAGTTTGAATCAGGAAGAGGAAAACCTTCAATTTAACCTGTCAATTGTAATCATGTTGTCAATTTGTACACATACCCTTAAGGACACGCTTCCATTGGTTGAAGAAACTGTTAAAAGCAAGGTGGATAGACTTTTTGCAGTACATACAGGGTTAACTATATATGTTTATTTTGGCAACGGTGTGCTTCTAAAGATGTCTTTTTGCTTTCTTAATACCTATGGCTAAATTTGGGGAAGAAATAGTAAGGGAAAAGATCATCTACACTGCAGGTATGGAATATGTTGGCTCTCAAATTCTATCATGTCCTTCCAGTTGTATCAGATCATGCTTCCTGGTGGAACATAGAAATGATTCCCAAGATCTCTGCCTGCTCCTAGACATAAGGAGTGCCTATTTCTGGTTACAGCTGGTCTGCCTGGTTCCCTGTCACCTCACTTCTTGCAGGGAGGGAACCACCAGAAGGCCCTCGGAGCTGGACCTCAGTGTCCAGGCAGAACGATGGGGGTGGAGACGCTCCTTCAGGTACACTGGGCCGAGGCTGTTTAGGGCTTTAAAGGTCAGCACCAACACTTTGAATTGTGCTCAGAAACATACTGGAAGCCAATGTAGGTCTTTCAGAACTGGTGTTATATGGTCTCAGCAGCCATATACTGATATACTGATAAATCACAATGCCTGAAATAAGGATGGAGCTCTGTGGAGGCATTGGCCGGCTTCACGGTTTTTCCCACATTGTGTTTTTTGCATAGCACAAATACACACAAACACATGATGATTTGTGATATATTGCCAGGTCAAAAATTATGAAGCCAATATAATGATACAGACTTCAATCCAGTTTTGGAAGACATATTGCCCAGCCCTAACACACATCATGGTTCGAAATATATTGCCAGCTCAAAAATTATGAAAATGATATCACAATATGGACTTCAAACCAGTTTTGGACGATATATCGCCCAGCCCTACTTACAACCACTCATTGTCTCTGGCATCACCTGCTGTTGCTTTCTCTGGTTTCTGCCCTACCAGTCCCAAAGAACAACAGCCAACCTTGGGTATGGTAGAGTCCTATGTTCCTATTTAAGACACTTACTAGAGATGATAAGGAAGATGGGAAGGATAATATAAGCAGGTAGTTCCTTCCCACTTTAGTTTTGATGGTACTTAATCATAGGTTCATTTCGTCCCATTTTTGTGTAGATTTCAGAGAAATGGGATGGAGAATAACAATGCCAGAACAATTTGTTTGGTGTCTATCAAAAAAAAATAAAAAAGACTGGGTGATGTACAAAAGACAGGAAAGAACAGTTTCTTCCTGGGTTTCTCAAGGGCTGGGTTAGGTGGCCTCTTGAACTGATCTTCAATACTTATTCACACAGCGCATAGTTAAAGTATGGATTCCTCTGTCATGGGAGGGAGAGGCGGCCACCAACCTGAATGGCTTTAAATGGTAAAGGTAAAGGGTAAAGGGACCCCTGACCATTAGGTCCAGTCGTGGCCGACTCTGGGGTTGCGGCGCTCATCTCGCTTTATTGGCCAAGGGAGCCGGCGTACAGCTTCCGTGTCATGTGACCAGCATGACTAGCCGCTTCTGGAGAACCAGAGCAGCGCACACGGAAACGCTATTTACCTTCCCGCCAGAGTGGTACCTATTTATCTACTTGCACTTTGACGTGCTTTTGAACTGCTAGGTTGGCAGGAGCAGGGACCAAGCAACGGGAGCTCACCCCGTTGCGGGGATTTGAACCCCAACCTTCTGATCGGCAAGCCCAAGAGGCTCTGTGGTTTAACCCACAGCACCACCCGTGTCCCGGCTTTAAAAGAGGATTGGACAAATTCATGGAGGAGAAGGCTACTAGTCACAAGGTCTCTGCTGCCATGGTTGGAGGCAGTGATGCTTCTGAATGCCAGATTCTAGAAACCACAGGAGGGGAGAATTGCTCTTGTGCTTGGGCCTTGCTTGAAAGTTTCCTACAGGCATCCGGTTGGCCAGTGTGAGAACAGGAAGCTGGACTAGACGGGCCACTGGCTGGATCCAGCAGAGCTCTTCGCATGCTCTTATCAAAATTCTTATGCTCATTTCTAATTTGTGCAGCTGGAAGACGGCAGAGCCAGGCTGAGAAGTCTCACTGGAGCAAAACCACAGCATTATACAAGCTAGCCATTTTGCTCCGTTCCCTCGGGAGCCGTAGGATTTAAAAGTGCATATAAAAGAAGCTATTCAGAGAGGCAATCCACAAGAGCGATTATGCAATATGTATATTATACGTCGGTGAAAGTGTGCAGAGCTCCTCCAGACAGCCAAGGCAAGAACAAAAAATAAAAATAAAAATGCCTGCTTACTTACCTTGAGGCGTCTTTCTCAGAAAAGGGGATGACCTGTATTGCAAATGTACAAAGGGATTTTGTCGTGGTGGAGTGGCAGGTTGCAGAGCTGGGAATTCCCCATAGAGAATTTTTGTTTACAATCAAAACAGTCTTAACTTCCTTCAGAGTTCCTAGGGACATAAACATGTATGCATCTTTCTTTGAAGTATTTTAAAGCAACCCCCCTTTTTTGAGTTACCTTCTCGCAATCCTGGAATTGCAGACTCGAAGGGTCACCCACTTCAACCCCCTGGATCACAGCTAATCACAAGGCAACATCTACTGCAATGCACTGTGTGTGGGGCTGCCCTTGAAGCCAGTCCAGAAGCTGTGGCTGGTGCAAAATGAGACATCTGGACTGCTGACTGGGCCAGGATGTCACCGGCATGTTACCCCACTGGGCTATTTTCAAGGTGGTGGTTCTGGTGTATAAAGCCAGGTTGGGACCAGAATACCTGAAATATCATCCTACCCATCAGATACCCATCAGATCTCTACAATCTGCAGGAGAGGGCCTCTTGTAGATTCTATCTTATCCAGAGCTCCATTCTCAGGGGCTCCTTCCAACTCTGCTATTCTGCAATTCCCAACAACTGGTGCATACTGTCTCCAACAGTAGAGGTAAAACATGCAGTAGCTACTACCTAAGGTTGCCACCCTTGGTTGGGCAAAATATAGGACAGGTCGGGGAAAATAAAGGACCAACGGTGGGGGGTTCCCCATACTCTGCCTCCCACCTCTCTCACCACCCAAGCCCCACTTTCCTCCAAGACTCACATAGACGGGCAGGGGCCAGGGATAGATGGCTGGCTCCCATAGGCAGCTTGAGCCACAGATCCAGCCTCTCGCCTATGCTGGCATCAGAAAAGACTCAAGTATGGAAGAAGGAGGAGGGAGGAGGGAGGAGGAGAGTGCAAGCTGGGTGTCAGGAATGAGCCAGCTCCTAGCGAAGGTTTGCAGCCAACTGCAGAAAGCAGGCAGGAACAGAGAAGCTTTGATGTTAGTCAGGCAGGGGAGAGCCGACAGCTGCAGACTTCAGCTCTTCCTGATCTCGATGGGCAGGCTGATAAGGCAGTAGCTGAGAGCAGGCTAGAACACAGCCAAAGCTTGCCGGAAGCACAAACAGGAGTGAGCAAACTCAGAGACAGCCTCTCAGAACAGGAAGAGTTTGGAGCTGATCCACTAAGTCCGAAGTGTCAGTGAATGGGAGGGCTGCTAGATAGGAAGCAAAACAAGAGACGTAAGGGTCATAAGTTCAGTATCTTCTGTCAACGCCGGAAGGATTCTTCAGAAGGGTCATCTTGAGTAATGATGCCGGAGGCTTTATTAGAGCCTTCCGGAGCTATTTGTTTGTTTTTGCAATAAATCCTCCTTTTCAATTATCTATGCTTACTGTGTTATCAAGCTGGAAACCTGGACTCCTGACATCGGGGTAGCAGAGGGAGCCAAGCGGCTGTGGGCTCACACCATGCTAGACAGTGGCTGAGGAGGAGCACCAGCAAGAGGGAAAGAAGGAGGGGGTGGGGGAGAAAGAGGAGGTTACTCTTTCCCTCTTCTCTCTGTTGCTGCTTGCGCCAGCTGGGCTCCTCATCAGCTGAACCAATAGTGATGCAACTGCCATTTTGGGGCCACCAGAGCTCAAATATGGGTAAAAAGGCATGTTTGAAGTCTAAACAGGACAGAGAACAGTTTCGTACAAAAACGGGGCAATCCCGTTTTCCTAGGGACGAATGGCAACCCTACTAGTACCAGTCAGATGAATTTTCAGTCCTTACAGTTAGGAAATGAAGGCAACAGCTGGCTGGCTAGCTCAGCTGAATGAATGAATGAATGAATCTTTATTTGCATCAGCCACCAGCCATAGCTGGTATACAGGGTATACAGAGGATAAAGGTAAAAAGTCAATTATATAAAATACATTTTGGGGGTTTGGGTCACTAGTCAAATAAAGGATCTTATTCTAATTTCCCCGGCTAAAAACCTTGCAACCTTTGCTGTCCCCTGCTCATCTTGATCTGCCAAGAGAAAGGACACTGTAACAGGGGTTGGGCGACCCAGAATGGACAATAATAGAAGGGTGATTACCTCACTCCTCAAATCTCAAAGAATGGAGGGCTAGCTCAGTTGGTTGAGCATGAGATTCTTAAACTCAGGTTTGTGGGTTTGGAGCCCCACGTGGGGCAAAAGATTCCTGCATTGCAGGGGGTTGGAGTAGATGACACTCGGGATCCCTTCCAACTTGACAGTTCTATGATCCTCTGTGGTTCATGGCTAGCATCTGGTATTCAGAGATGCACTAAATTTCAACACACAAAAAAAAATGAGGGGCCTTGATTTAGACATTACGCCTGTCATGCCCCAGCCTCTGAATTCACTCTAGGCAAAATTCAGCAGCTGCTCAGCCTCACACAATGTGGGACCATTGACACTCTGTTGCCCCCGCTCCCCCCAATATTGCATGTGAAGCTGTGAGGTTTGTGAGTGTCTTTGACAGCGAAGAGCTGAAGGCCCAAATAAAATCTGATCTGATTAGGCTTGAATCAATACAGCTGGTCTGTGTCGCGGCAATGGGCAAAGGGGATGTGGATCCTCTGCTAGGCTGCCACCGCCCTCCCCTTCTTTGCAAAGCTGAGCCAATGCTGAGAGCCAGCACATGCACACCCTTCCTTCTGCTTTGCAACTCAGACGCACTTATTTCATCTGAGTTCCCAAAGACCGGCTCCTTGTCTGCCTTGTAGCCTGAAGCTATTCTACGCTCCCTTGACGTTCTCCAGGTGAAAATAGGGGGCATCCCAGTTCCCACATGAGAACATAAGGACATAATCAAAGCCTGCAGGATCAGGCCAGTGGCCCATCTGGTTCAGCATCCTGTTCTCACAGTGATGTCTGCATTGCAGGGGGTTAGACTAGAGAGCCCTTGTGGGTACCTTTCAACTCTTCAATTCTTTGACTCAATGAAAATAAATACCATATTGGCCCGAATATAAGCCGCACCTTTAAAATGCCCCGGGGGGGGGGGATAAAAAAAGATAATACAGTGGTACCTCGGGGGTTACATATGCTTCAGGTTACATACGCTTCAGGTTACAGACTCTGCTAACCCAGAAATAGTGCTTCAGGTTAAGAACTTTGCTTCAGGATGAGAACAGAAATCGTGCTCCAGCGGTGCAGCAGCAGCTGCAGGCCCCATTGAGAGCCAGTGAGGTGTAGTGGTTAAGAGCGGTGGTCTTGTACTCTGGGGAACCGGGTTCGCGTCTCCGCTCCTCCACATGCAGCTGCTGGGTGACCTTGGGCCAGTCACACTTCTTTGAAGTCTCTCAGCCCCACTCACCTCACAGAGTGTTTGTTGTGGGGGAGGAAGGGAAAAGAGAATGTTAGCCGCTTTGAGACTCCTGAAGGGGAGTGAAAGGCGGGATATCAAATCCAGACTCTTCTTCTTCTTAGCTAAAGTGGTGAATCAGGTTAAGAACAGTTTCAGGTTAAGAACGGACCTCCGGAACGAATTAAGTATTTAACCCGAGGTATCACTGTACCTGAATATAAACCGCTCCCTTAAAATTCCACAGGCACTCACACCTCTTCTGTTTTACCATATGTCTGTTTCAGCAGTGATATTGTAAAAAAGCCAAATTTTGTAAGGTCATGAATTTAACCTGTGCTTTAACTTTTCACGGTCGGAATTTTGAAAAAAGAAAAAAAAAGTGTGGCTTATATTCGGGCCAATATTGGTAGCAAGGCTTTCTAGACATGTAGACATTCACATATTTTGTTCTCTTTTGACTGTTGATTTTAATTATTTTAATTGTCGTGGGTTTTTAAAAAAATATTTCTTATCAACAGCCGAGCTGTTTTTGCTACAATCGCGAGGTATATAAATTTTGTGAAATAAAATAAATAATACTGTCCCTGCGATAACGCTCAAGGAAGGAGCGAAGGTGGAGCCAGTGAGGAATGTGGTCTGGAGAGAAATGGTGGCTGCTGAAGGTTCTGGGGGCCACACAGAGAGGTACGGGGGGCCGTATTTCCTTCCTCTGGCCCTGAGGCCCCCCCCCAAAAAAATTTTTTTCTGGACTCTGTTCTCCACTGGTTTCTGACACTGGACCTGTTAGTAACCTGACCTAGGGATGGATGGATCTATCTATTCCAACTCTGTGTCAATTTCATGTTTCATTCACCAGTCTGTTCTCTGTCACTTCTACATGAATCCCTCCCCCCCTTAAAAAATCAATACAAAAATCCATATTTAAATCCATAATTAAACAAACACATTTCACCCCGATGCCCATGTTCCTATTTACATTTCATCCTACAATATTCATGTTTTAAATGTGTTTTGGTACTTGTCCAGAGCAGACCCATTGAGATGAATTAACATGGTAAATAAAACATCATGCATTTCAAGGCCTCTGCTCTGAGTAGGGCTAGTATCGGAGGCAGCCCTAAACTTCTAGAGACTTCACACGTGTGTGTGTGCATTTGAAGAACATTTAAGATAAAATAAAATAAAGCTTCTGCCAAATCTACCCCAAAGGCAAAATCAGGACAGCTTTTTCTCTCTCCTTTGCCGGGGCTGATAAAACAAAGCAAAACAAAACTTGTCTCTTGGAAACCAAAAAAAAATTGAAGTGATTTCCCAAGCGCATCACTCCTAGCAAGGAACAATGGCAGGCAGTTGTGGCTGGCATTAAATCAGCATTCTTCAGAGCCTTCCTGAGTGTTTCACGGTTCCCAAGATGACCACGAAGAGGCTTATATGCTTTGCCTTCTCCCGCCTCCTGGAGAGAGACAACAGCCATCTTTCTCTTCCACCAGCAACCATCTGCTTCCTTCTATTAATGAATGAGGCAGCATCCTTGATGAGTCAGGTGAGCTCAGCATCCCTCGAATCCACAGTGCTTCCCCTCCACCTTTCCTCATTTTGCCATATGCCTGGAGTATGGCATGAATGAGGAAGCCAGCCAGAGGGGCGGGAGAGAAGGAGAGATAATATCCTATCAAGGAAGTCTTAGAGATTCCATTCACTTATTCCTTTGCTTCCTTTGCCCTCTCCGAACCATATTGGCTGAGAAATACGCTACGCTCTGAGGTTAAGACCACATCCAGACCATAGGTTTAAAGTACTTCGATACCTCTTTATGCACTCATTAAAAAGGTAAAGGTAAAGGACCCCTGACAGTTAAGTCCAGTCACGAACGACTCTGGAGTTGCGGTGCTCATCTCTCTTTACTGGCCAAGGGAGCTGACGTTTTGTCCGCAGACAGTTTTTCTGGGTCATGTGGCCAGCATGACTAAGCTGCTTTTGACGAAACCAGAGCAGAGCACGGAAATGCCATTTACCTTCCCGCCGGAATGGTACCTATTTATCTACTTGCACTTTGACGTGCTTTCGAACTGCTAGGTTGGTAGGAGCTGGGACCGAGCAATGGGAGCTCACCCCATTGTGGGGATTCGAACCACCAACCTTCTGATCAGCAAGCCCTAGACCACAGCGCCACCCGTGTCCCCATTGCTTCCCCTCAAATATTCCTGGGAACTGTAGTTTTGCCTCCATGGAACTACAATTCCCAGCACCCTTAGCACCCTTAGCACCTTCCCAGGATTCTTTGGAAGAAGTTAAACGTGTTTTAAATGCCTGGTATGACCTCAGAGAGGAAGCGGGGAGTCCATCAAGCTGCACACTGTATGTTGAAAGTGCTACGATACCACTTTAAACAGTTGTGCCTTCCCCCAAAGAATTCTGGGAGCTGTAGTTCATTAAGGGTGCTGAGATACCTCCACTCCTCTCCCAGAATGGTTTATTTATATTGTTATGAGTTGGGGGTGGGTAGGCTGTATTCCTGAGCCTCCTTCTAATTCCTGAATCCAGCATAGATTCAATTCCTGAAATGGCCAGCGTAGTTTCCTGGTGAGGTAATAGCCCTCTAAGTATGGGTCATTAAGATAACAAAGGAAGTGGCTCTATGTCAGAAAACAAATGGGTCCCCGTCCCCCTTCAATTTGCTGGTGGAAAGACAAAGTCCAGAGTTGAGGGAGTTGAGGTATGTGTTTTTTAGTTTTTTGTATTTTATTTGCTTTAATTTGGGTAAGTTGCCTTGAGTCCCAATCTGGGAAAAAGATGGGATATTAATAACAATAATATTTCCACATCTGCATATCTGCATATAAATATATCATTTGGAAATCATTGCACACGTCTCCAACCTCTTTCTATTTACTTCTAATGTAATCTCATCTATGTCATTTATTTTGTACAACAGATTGCTTTGTTTGAAGAGTTTGAGAGTTTTTTTAAAAAAAACTTCCCACCCTTGTCTGCTCCGAGATTATTATTTTTAAAAGTGTGGATCAACTTTAGGTAGGTTGTCTTTACCTAAAGTTGATCCACACTTTTAAAAATAATAATCTCGGAGCAGACAAGGGTGGGAAGTGTATGCTGTTTTTCGAAAATGCATATCTACATCCACATCTGCCAATACCTAATTCTTCTCTCCCCAGATATTTGTATACCAGCCAATGGAAGTTTTATCAAAGCATTGTGAAATCTGCACCCAAAGTTTAGCAAGTAACACGTCATTTCGTTATATATATTTTTTGCTTTTTACATTTTTGAATTGGTTAAAAACAAAAAAACAAAAAAAAAAAGTGTGGATCAACAGAATCAGCCCATTTCGAGGCAGAGCTGATAAAGTGATCAATAATGGGGCAGACACTTTAGAAATGTACCAATAAATCATTGTGCATTGTATTGGGCGGGAAGCCAGAGCGGATATATTCACATCAGGAAAGGGTCAGGGGAATGAATACTTTCTATCCAAAGTCTGGGTGGCTGGGAAAACCCAGCCAGATGGGTGGGGTATAAATAATCAATTATCATTAAATTATTATTACGAGGAATCTGACAAATGCATCTTGTTTGTACAGATGGACAATCACCAGGTGCCATCACTATCTTGTTTTTGACATCTGCTGAAAACTTATTATTATTATTATTATTATTATTATTATTATTATTATTTTGGGAAGCCTACCTAAGAAGCAGGGTTGTAGCTCAGTGGTAGCGCGCACACAGAGCCTAGGGCTTGCTGATCAGAAGGTCAGTGGTTCGAATCCCCACGACGGGGTGAGTTCCCGTTGCTCAGTCCCTGCTCCTGCCAACCTAGCAGTTCGAAAGCACGTCAAAGTGCAAGTAGATAAATAGGTACCGCTCCCATGGCAGATGAAGGTGATTGACTACATGGAATTGGCGGAAATGACTGGCAGAATCCGAGACCAGGGAGAAGAGTCGGTGAAAGAAGACTGGAAAAAATTTAAGGACTATTTACAGAAATATTGCAAAATTAAGGAACTTTAGAAGGATGTTGGATAGAAACTAAGAGGTTTTTAGCTGTAATGCTTTAAGAGACATGGAAAAAAAGGTTAACAATTGGGTAAAAGATTAATGGTAAGGATTTGCTGAACCAACAAATTGAATTGGAATACAAAGAAGGGAGGTATGAGGAGGTCCGGGGAAATAAGAGTAAGGAAGATAGGTTATGGAACATTATTGTGTTTTTAACTGTCTTATTTTGTACGTTTTTTCTTATTTTCTACTTTTTTGCTGTATTTTAAAACTTTATACTTTTTTCTTTGTTTTGTATTTTCATGTATTTTTGTGAAAGTTTAATAAATATCATTATATAAAAAAAAAAGATAAATAGGTACCGCTCCGGTGGGAAGGTAAACGGCGTTTCTGTGCGCTGCTCTGGTTCGCCAGAAGCGGCTTAGTCATGCTGGCCACATGAGCTGTATGCCGGCTCCCTCGGCCAATAAAGTGAGATGAGCGCCGCAACCCCAGAGTCGGTCACGACTGGACCTAATGGTCAGGGGTCCCTTTACCTTTACCTTTACCTAAGAAGCAGGGTTGTAGCTCAGTGGTAGCTCAGTGGTAGAGCATCTGTCTCGTGCACAGAAGGTCCCAGGTTCAGTCCCTGCCATTTCCAGGCAGGGCTGAAACCCTGGAGAGGGTACATTGCTAGTCACAGTGTACAAAACACTTTGCTGGATGAACTGTTATTCTGATTCAGTATGAATGCCAGTTACTGGAAACCACAGGAGTGAAGAACGCAGTGGTGTAGCATGGGCAAGGCAGCGGGGTGGCGGTCCCAGGCACAAAATTCTGTGAGGGGCGCAACCAGTCACCCCCATGACAGGCTTCCTTACGTGGCTGAGCTCCTGTCACCTCCTGCAGTGGGACAAACTGCACCTGGGCCAGGCTTTTGGGGCTGGGGCGGCACCTCCTTCTCCTTGTGGCTAGTGAAGGGACTGCCACCCATCGTTGTTCCCGGACACTGAGGTCCAGTTCCAAGAGCCTTCTGGGGGCTCCCTCCTTGCAAGAAGTGAGGTTACAGGGAACCAGGCAGAGGGCCTTTTCGGTGGTGGCGCCCATTAATTTTATTCCTTCCTTCTGATTCAGGGTGCACAGGCATTGGTATGCGACAGGAAGATGAGTTGCTGCTTGCAGGCATCACTGGTGCTTCTGGTGGTACTGCACTCTCATTGGCTCCCAGTACATTTCCGAGCACAATTCAAAGTGTTGGTGCTGACCTTTAAAGCCCTAAACGACCTCGGCCCTGTATACCTGAAGGAGCGCCTCCACCCCCATCGTTCAGCCCAGACGCTGAGGTCCAGCTCCAAGGGCCTTCTGGTGGTTACCTCACTGCAAGAAGTGAGGTTCCAGGGAACCAGGCAGAGGGCCTTCTCAGTAGTGGTGCCTGCCCTGTGGAATGCCCTCCCATCAGATGTCAAGGAAGTAAACAACTATCTGACTTTTAGAAGACATCTGAAGGCAGTCCTGTTTAGGGAAGTCTTTAATGTTTGATGTTTTATTTTGTTTTTAATACCTGGTTGGAAGCCGCCCAGAGTGGCTGGGGAGGCCTGGCCAGATGGGCGGGGTATAAGTAATAAATTATTATTATTATTATTATTATTATTATTATTATTATTATTATTACATCATGAGATGGTGGTGCAGGAGAAAAGAACATAAGAGCCTTCCGGGTCAGGCCAGTGACCCATCTATTCCAGTATCCTGTTCTCACAGCTGCCAACCAGATACCTGTGGGAAACCCACAAGCAGGATTCGAACACAAGAGCACTATCCCCTTCTGCAGTTTCCAACAACTGGTATTCAGAAGCATTGCTGTCTCCAGCTGTGGAGGAAAAGCATAGCTATCAGTAGCCTCCTCTTCCTCTGATCCTCTTTTAAAGCCATATAGGCTGGTAGTTACTGAAGAAGAAGAAGAAGAAGAAGAAGAAGAAGAAGAAGAAGAAGAGGAGTTTGGATTTGATATCCTGCTTTATCACTACCCGAAGGAGCCTCAAAGCGGCTAACATTCTCCTTTCCCTTCCTCCCCCACAACAAACACTCTGTGAGGTGAGTGGGGTTGAGAGACTTCAAAAAAGTGTGACTAACTCAAGGTCACCCAGCAGCTGCATGTGGAGGAGCGGAGACATGAACCCGGTTCCCCAGATTACGAATCTACTGATCTTAACCACTACACCACACTGGCTCTTCTGCTTCCTGTGGGAGTGAGTTCCACAGTTTAACACGCAGCACGGTTAATTGTGAGCGCCGTGACCAAGATCAAAGGCGCAGCCATCTGAACGACTGTTCCACCGTATGGAATCTCAGACCCAATCGTGAATATTGCAGCGAGGCAAAAGGATTTAGCCATGGCAGCATTACGGAGCGTATAAAAAAAAAATGCCCAATTCCTGTTGTCTTTGAGATAGGGCAGAAACAAGAAGGAACGCCTTGCCAGATGCTCAGATCTAGCAGCGACTTCCCCAATTACCGCAGGCCAACCGTCGCAAGCCCTGGCAGGAACTACAGAGGGCAACTTCTAAACCAGGCAGGAGGAACGACTCAAGCCGAGGCGACTGTAGGATCAAAACTTCATTATCCACAGAGATTCGAGCTTGAATCGGCCTTAAGTGAGGCTTTGGGACTGCGCTTTTCTAAGTCGTTTGATGTGTGTTTATTGTGGATTGGGCGCTTATCTCCACTTAGCACACCTAAACCATCTGCACCGAGACACTTGTTCATCAGTGTTCCACGTGTAAAAGTTGAATCGCAGCATTACTCGGGGTTTGCTTCCTGAGCTGAGCATGATGAATCCCAGGCATTCGTCTCTAAAAGAACAGCTTGATATGTACAAAATCCAAATCAGCTGCTAGCCAATCCCCATGTTCCAATATGCACTTTGCAATATGATCCCATGTTGGGGGAAAGGAAATTTTCAGGAAGTTGTGGTCGTGCCGTTCGGCAAAATTTATCCCATTCTTTCCCCCCCCCCCACCCGGAAGCATTCTCCATCAATTAATGGGAATATAAAATACATTGGAACTTTATCAAAAGAGATAGAATGTTTTAGAACTTAAGAAGAACCTGCAAGGAAGACTCTGCAGAGAACTATTAGTTAATGATAATTAAAAGTAATAGAGAAATTAAGAAATGCAGAATAAGTGATAAAGAATGAAAAGAGGTTGTTGACGGAAGTCTAAAATACGGTATAAGATAAGAAATTATGTTAAATGATTGTTGGAAATAATATGTTAAAATTAGTAAAAATGTATAATAATAATAAAAAGAACCTGCTGAATCAGGCCAGTGACTCACCTGGGCAAGAATCCTGTCCTCACAGAGATCACCCAGATGCCTGTGGGAATCACATAAGCAGGACTTGAGCACAAGGGCAGCTCTCTCCTCCTGTGGTTTCCAGCAACTGGAAAGGTAAAGGTAAAGCGACCCCTGACCATAAGGTCCAGTCATGGACGACTCTGGGGTTGCGGCGCTCATCTCGCTTTATTGGCCGAGGGAGCCGACGTACAGCTTCTGGGTCATGTGGCCAGCATGACTAAACCACTTCTGGTGAACCAGAGCAGTGCACGGAAACGCCGTTTACCTTCCCGCCAGAGCGGTACCTATTTATCTACTTGCACTTTGACGTGCTTTCGAACTGCTAGGTTGGCAGGAGCTGGGACCAAGCAATGGGAGCTCACCCCATTGCGGGGATTCAAACCGCCGACCTTCTGATTGGCAAGTCCTAGGCTCTGTGGTTTAACCCATAGCGCCACCCACGTCCCTTCCAGCAACTGGTATTCAGAAGCAACTGTGGAGAAAGAGAATCTCCATCGTGGTCCCTCCCCCGCCGATGGCACCAAGAAGCAGGGAGGAAACAAGAAAGTTCTTACCTATGGTTTATTCAGTCATCACGACGAAAGACAAAGAAATCCAGTCTTTCCTCCATGATGGAGTTACTCTCAAAAATGGGAAATGTTTAAGAGATACTTACAAAAAAATAACAGCGACATATGGTAGTGTTTGAATGACCTTTGTGTACATAAAATATTAAGAAATAAAGTAAAATCGGTATGCTAGGTTGTAAGAAAGTATTAGAAAGTATTTTAAATGTAAGGTAATAATTATAAGTACGTTCAAAATCACAAATGTCAGCTATATTGGGGAATGATGGGAAGTTGATATTTATTTTACTTCAGTTTGTTGTTGTTGTTTTATATTTTTTTTATGTACCACTATATGATTTTAGCTTAGCTGATATCTAAGTGGAATTAGAAGGTCAAATTTACATGCTAAGTTAAACTAATTTAAGAATATATATATGTGTGTGTGTGTGTGTGTGTGTGTGTGTGTGTGAAGTTAAATCTGTAATGACATTAATGTATTTCATTGACAAAAGACACAATGGCAAAAAAAAAAGTTGCTTGCACTAAGCTCCTCCCCCCTTCCCTTCTAACAACGACACCTGCTTCTACGGCGTCCTCCTGTGATCAACCGTCGTTGTGCCCTTTGTTCTTTTTTAGTAATTTTTATTAGTTTTCCATTTAATAGCATATGTTCACATCGATATTGTCCACTTTACATCTTCGGCTCTATAGAACCCATTGACTCTTCTCCCCCCCCCCCCCATGGCTTTCAAAGCTAACCTTTCTATTGTTGCATTTTGTACTTTTTCCAATTCTAGATCACTCATTACGAAAAATATTAAGATTGAAATTAAAATAAACAGGGAGAATGTCCATCATTACAAGTCTTCAGACAACCCTGCTAGTGATGTCAATTGCTTACAGTAATCTTTTAAATATTGTATAAATTTTCTCCAGCCCTTGATTGTGCTGGTTTTGGATTCTTCCTGTCAGCTTCGCCAGTTCCGCAAAGTCCATCGTTTTCATCTGCCACTCTTCTTTCATTGGTACTTCTTGTTTCCATTTTGGGGCTAGGAGAATTCTTGCCGCAGTTGTTGCATGCATAACTAGTCTTTTATTTTCTCTTGGCATCTCTTTGCCTACTCTTCCCACTAAGAAGGCTTCTGTTTTTTTTCCAGCAAAAGTATTTTTAAACATTTTCTTTAACTCATTATATATCATTTCCCCAAAAGCCTTTACCTCTTTGCAAGACCACCACATGTGATAAAAGATACGCTCCTTTTCTTTACATTTCCAACACTCATTAGTTTTTGTCCTGTACATTTTATTTTTTATTTTTTTAAATATTTATTGGTTTTACAAGAAAAAATTCCAAAAAATGCAAAATTACAAAAGTTCAACAAACAAAGAGCCACATTAACCATGACAGAAGACAAACAGAAATAACAATATCCATAACAAAAAAAGAAAAAAGAAAAAAAAAGAAAAAGAAACAAACAAAAAAAAATTTTTTTTAAAGATAATATACTTTCATTTAGCCTTCTTATCTTTACCTAGTTCTTTGACTTCCCCGCATCTCCCCGCTTGTATTTCCATTTAAGAGCTCCTTTCAGCAAATCCTTACCCTCCTTTCATTATCTTAGCTCAAAAAACTTAATCTATTTATATATAAATATTTTTACAACCTTATCAATCAAATATTCCATACTCTTAATCACAAGGGTTTTGCCAATACCAGTTATTTTCAATCAGACTTCAATTTAACATTCATTAA